CAAAATATATATATATATATATAAAAATACCTAATTTATATTTTATTATCCAATCAATTCTAATCCAGACCTGCTTCCCACTTCCCAATTCCTCTTTGCCCATGCAAGCCAGCCTTAATTCCCATCCATGTCACGTCCGTTTATCACTCTCTATTATTTCTCATGAAATGTGCCTTAAAATTTTTTTAATCTGTTTTCCTCATTTGATTTTTATTTGTTTCATTTATAACATCAGTTGTGTTGTCTGGGAATGCAGGCATGCTGTTTTTAAACACACTGCTCTGGCCGCTGGAATGATAGAATTTAAAATCAAGGTGGTGTTATTGTGGTGGCAGTAGATAGATCTTAGTCTTCTTGGGGATGTTTAGTAATGCATGCAATGGTGTTGGTCGCCTCCCCGCTGCTATGATATACTCGGGCTCCAACCTAACTAACATTTATGGGGTAAGGTGGGGGGGATTATGTTAATTTATCCTACAGGGCCGGACTGAAATTCTAGCGGAGGTCAAAAGATTGGGATAATCTTGGCTTTTTTTTTTTTTTGCAGGTCCCTAGTACTGTTTTTTTTAAAAATTTTTAACCGGTGACCATCCTGTCACTCGCACAGTCCATATCTTTCCTTCCTATCTACCTACCTGGCTCTGTCTGTTTTTTCACTCTCCTTTTCATGTTTGGTTCCTCTTTACATACCTGCCTTCACCTTCAAGCTTTGCTTTCTTTCCCCACTTAATTCCTGACCCCTGCATTGCTCCTCATTCAGGGGTGAAGAGGGCTATGCAAGAAAGTTCTCAAATTATGTAAACAGCATGCTAAGACATACCGTAAAATATGGTGCACCACAGGCTGGCTTGCTCCTCCTTAGTTTCTGGGACTCTAGGAGGGGCATTGAGTGAATGGGAAGAGAGGGGTAGGGATTTATTTTTTGTCTAATCATTTTCTCTCCGCAGGCTTCTCATGTTGATCATTTGCATATCTTTTTTTTGGTTCTTTGTTTTTTCTATTTATTTTTTTTACATCTGGGGTTTCAATATTGTTTTTGTTCTGTTATAGACTAGTCTTACAGGAATCAATCTTAAACCCTAAGCTACCTCAGGTAGGCGCCCTCTCACATGGCCTCCTCCCCCTTATTCCAACCAATCAGAGTGGAGATTGCTGTGAACCAAGATTTAAATTACTAACCCATAATTAACACCTTGTTGGAGAAGGGAACAGAGCCCACTTTCCTGAAAAGATGCAACAGATTTATATCTGGACTTCATGATTGAGATCTGTGATTTTAGAAAAGCAAAACATGGACATCTGAAATAAGCCGCACAAAGTTTAATTGCTAATTAGTGCAAAGATTCAGATCTGTTTCGTTATTTTGTTTTGTATCATGCATGAGAGGGGGATATATACATAAAATTGAACATAGGTTAGAACATAATAAAATGGAGAAATACATATATGGCATCTCATGAGTAAATGCGATCTCTGTTAGAGGCTTTCATTTAAAGTGTTTAGAAAAATATAACTACTGCAAAATAGTTTAGGCAGGACCTAAAAGGTTAGTCTACCCAAAGTTATTTTTGTTACAATTTTAACCTGGTGCACTAGTTAGCTCTTGCATTCATGTTTTTAAAATCTCTAATAGTGATATATTCCTGACTGTTCCTGTCTACCTGGGGGGTTTGTGTCCTAGTCTCCTTTTGCTAGCTTGAAAATCTGGTGTATTCTCCATATTGTAAATTAAATGTTTAAAAATCAATCTCGATGCAGTTAAAATGACTACTGCAGTTGGGCATAACCAGAAACAGAGCAGATCTCTTAAGTCACCAAGAACTATATTAAAACGGGGAGTTTTGCTTTCCACATCTACAAAAAAACAAATCCATACTGAGTAGACTGATACTTTTAATACAAAGGAACTGGTTTTGGGTGTTTTTTTGTTAGACTATTTTAAATTGATGTTCCAACCTTTATTTGTTGTGAAGTTACCTTTTTGTTGTCTAATTTGTTTTCCATCAAAACATTTTATTAGCATGAAGCAATAAGGTGATTACATTTGTAATAGTGACATGCCTGGAGATGGCTAATTAAAATGTTAGTATTGTACAAAAGCTGAATTAATTGACAAAAAAGGGAAACAATGCTTATTAAGAGTAGTTCATCACAATTGTACCTTTGCTGCTCTCCAACGCACATACATTTGAGACTATCCTACCTACACCTTTTTTTTGCACGCCAGTTCTCAATTAAGTAGCTGAGAAATTATTTCCTTCATTGCCCACCTCCTTGCTCATGCTTTTCTTTACTATCTGTTCTTCCTTTTATTTCACTGCTGCCATGACTCTATCCCTTCTATTCCAGCCACTACCCCACAGCCTTCCTTTTGAGCTCTATTTTCACAAGTAAACCACCATCCTCTTTGGAGGCTTTATTACACTGGTATAACAGGATATAACCGTAGTTTTGACTTGATGCCATTCTCTTCTGTTAAGCCCCCAATTTATAAAATTTTCATGGAGATATAACCAAAAACAACCAAAGTTTTAATAAATTATTTGCGGGTATCTATAAAGCTTTGAAATATTCCAGTTCTCTAAACCCAGGGGTCTCAAACTCCATTTACTCGAGGGCCACTGGACAAATGTTCTAGTCCCATGGGGGCTGCTTGCCAAATTTTATGCTTCAAAATTAAAAAAACTATATACAGTACCAGTGTTAACGTCTACGCATGTTACAAGCGGCAACTGTCACCCATTCAAGTTAATGATTAGGTGACAGCCGCTGCATGTAAACACCTGCACACTGCATGTAATTATATGTGATATGATTACATGCAGTTAGGAGTCAATTACTATCCCTGAATGCATTGATTGTGCAACCAGGGAGAGTTATTGTTTTCTAACTGCATGTAATCATATCACCTACCATTACATGCGGTGTGCAGGTGTTTACATGCAGCTGCTGTCACCTGATCATTAACTTGAATGGGTGACAGTCGCTGCTTGTAAATGCCAGATTAGGGATTCCTGCTGCAGGAAAATGCAAATTCCTGACACCGGAAATCCCTAATGGCACCTGAAATATACAGTAGGTGTTAATGGGGCCTAATATATATATACTAATACACTCCCCAGCGTGTTACCTGCTCCCTTGCACACACAAAATAGACTTCCCCGCCCTCCAAGCTCCCCTCACACACACAGAATAATACACTCCTCCCTGTTCCAAACCCCCCACGCGCACACACACACACACACACACACACACAATAC